ACAACAGTAAGGAACAAGACAGCTTTGTTCAGTCTGTTCCCACTGATTAAATATACTGCACACTAAGAACCCCAGTTATTGTGTCCTGTGAGGTTAAGTATTTCCCGGGCTACAGATGCTTACAACCAAATTTCTGTGAAAACGTATACGTTGGTTGTAAGCATCTTTTTCTCTTTCTTTTTTTTTTTTTGAAAGCTGACATTTGCAGTCAGAGCCTTGTTGCCTCTCCTCCAACCAGCCACATCTTCACACGTTTTTCACTCAGCCGCTAATTGAGTGAGATCTCTGAATAGGATGCTACTTAGCCACTCTACTTGGAATGGGGGGTAGAGGGGAAAAACAGAATCCGTGCTTCTTTCTGCTAATTATGAACATCTGTTCACTGTTCCTGTACCTTCTTTCACAAATGGAGAAAAAGAAATAATTGTTCAATTAAGAGCCGACAAGCTAGGGGGAAAATACAAACAAGCAGACAGCCAGTATTTTAGCATCCCTTGCAGCAGCTTACACAAGAACACACGCACTCTGTGGGACCTGTTTCTCGTTTTGTTAATATTTTAGTGTTTAATTTTTGATTAATGTTTGGAATAATTAATTTCTCATAGATTCATAATAGATGTTCACAACATCCAATCATAGCAGATTAGTTTGTTTTAGACCAATCAGAATGGTTTCTATATTGTTTCAGTCGCACATGACTTTCTGTTTCCTTCAGTAACGACTCAGGCCTATTTTTGCAACTCTACATACACGGAAAGACAAGAGAACATGCCTTTCTCACTCATGAGTGGGAAAATAATTTTTAAGAAAATATCTCGCCCAGATTTGCCAATTCAAAAATACATCTTTGCTCTAAAAGAGGAATTAAATACACTGGCATCATCCCACTGTCCTAAGACATGACTAATTGAGCTGGTCTCTCTCTATGTGTGTGCATGGTTGTTTGTCCTGTATGTGTCTTGCTGCCACCTGTCCAGAGTGCACACCCTGAATCTAGACCTAATGGCTGCAGGAGACAGACACCTGATAGACACACCTGTGATCCAATATTAACAAACGAGTACACAGACAATGGAGGGATGAATTACTGGTGAAAGAAAAACAGTCTGAAATGTTATTAGATATTTTTGTCTGCATGACAAAGCAGATTTCTGCCCCACTGTGTCGATGACATTCATTAGTGATGCCACACGGCCTCAGACAAACAGAAGCCCAGCAGCGCCCCGCTTACACTGGACCTAATTGGCTCCCGCTGGCTGAAAGACACACAGAGTGCACCTTGTGAGAGAGAGAGAGAGAGAGAGCAAGAGAGAGCATGCAGCACATTTCCTCTCCTTCTAGCAACATAAGCTTCATCTCTCTCCCTCTCTCTCTCTTTCTCTCTCTTTCTCATCCACGTGAGCCCTGACGTTGTGTTTATCTGATGTCAGACGGATCACATCCAGAGCTCTGCGCCCTGCAGCCGCCAGCATGGAGCTGCTGTACCAGCTCTGCCATGTCACGTTACACAGCTGTGTGAGCCCAGCTCGCTTTACTGCAGCAGCTCCGTTTTTTTTTATTTTTTTTAACTCGGGTCAAAGCTCTATCATGCACAACTTTTGTCGGTCAATTTACTGCAGATTCATCTGCATGATGTATTTTTGATGCAAAAGCTGCAGGGTGTAATCTGCCTCTCGCCCGATGGCCGCTGCAAGGATAAGCAGGTTCTCCACTCCACATCTAAACATCTCTAGTTTCAGCAGTTAATATAAAATACCTATAAAAATGGTTCCTTCTCTTTGCAGGTGGGTCTTGTCGCCTCACAGTGTCAGGAGTAGATTTAATTATTTAATTTACGGCTTTATTAAATGGACAAGTAATGACTTTGATAAGGAGAAAAGAAAAAGATCAATTCTTCTAGTCTTGTTGTTTAATTGTTTTCTTAGGTCTGTGTTTGACGAGATTATCTTGATTTCCCACTGGACTGTTTTCGTTTTAATTCTTTTTCTTACTTCCTTCTCACTCCTCATCTCAGTCATGATTTGTTTTCTAGCCCTTCTCCCTCGTTTCAGTCATTCACTTAAAGTAAATATGTAAGCCCCAGATCTTCAGCTCAGTTTTCCTGCTGTCTTCTTCCCATTTTGCATTATGCATTTCTTTTTGTAGTCCTGTTTGCATTCTTCTATTTCACGACTTTTTGTTTTTTTTTGGAGACTAAAGTTAGTTTCTAATCTTCAGTTGTGATCACTGCAGACTAACCTGCAGCGGGTCAATCTGATGTTCCATCTACGCTGACATGCACCGACACCCAAACAGCACAATGAATGCCTGCTTTACCTTCTGTTGACTGAGAATAATAATTGATCATTACATATTTGGAGGATAAAACGTGAACATGGACATCTAGAGATCCGTTTTAATATCCAGGCTGGAATCTGCATGTTTTGCCATTTTCTTCCTACTTTCAGCCACTGGTTGTATTTAGCTTGGAGCTCATCCAAACAAACCCAACATGAGCTCAGGTCCATTTGCTAACAAGCCTCAGCAGACTCAGTTTACAGTGTGTTATATGACCCACATGATATTTTGGATAAATATAATCCTGTAAAACATCCAGAAGTCTGAAGCTGCCCTCAGATGATCAAGATACAGAAGGAAAAATGTTTTGTTTTTATTCACTTTTGTCAGCAGCCCAATTTTATTTGTTTAAAGTCATACAAAGTGAGCAAGATGCGATGAAAACAGAAATTTTTTCTAAAGCATACAACTACAAAAAGAAACTCATCTATAACAGAATAAAACAACAAAAACAGAGAATCCCCCCAAAAAGAGGAAAAAACTATATGATGAGTGTCCCAACTTTCTCTTTTGTTGCTATATTTTGTAATTTTATGTGAGAAATCAGACTTGTCTTCTGAATTTTTCATTATTAAGTTTAACAAAAACCACAGTTCTGTGTTTTCTTCTTTCCTTTATTTAAACAGGAAATGACCCCATTGAGATCCAGTTCTCATTTTCTAAAGAACGATGTATTTAACAAAAATGTGTTATATTACATTGAGAACTGAAGTTCTACAGCTAATCTTTTCTCATTTCTTTTTGTACACCTGGACTCTTAATTGAGTCATTTGTAAAAAAAAAAAAAAAAAAAAACTGAAAAAAGGGGGGAAACTTCTCCAGGGAGGAAAACCTCAACTTGCAGCAGCACCGATTAAAATACATCCACCCTGATAAAACTAAGTGGGATCAATGCAACTCCATTGGACAATAATCTGATCGACTGCACCTTTCATCTTCAAAAGCGAGACCGGCGAGCTGAAAGCGTGAGCACGGCGGCCGGAGCAGAGAGAGAGAGGGAGGCGTCCCTCCTTCCCACTTTGTGACTCAACATATTAAAGCTGAGCCGGGAGGAATCCAGAGACGAGGAAGAGGAGGAGGAGAGAGGACGAATGTGGCGTAGTACAGCGCTGCAGAATCCCTCCCAGTCCTACACAAAGCCATGCCTGCACTCTGAACCTCGTGACTAATGGATGAGATTTGCTCTGTGCTCCTGCAGCTCGTACGGTCTAAAGTTTTCACCACAGATGAAATGGAGCACCGTTTTTATTCATCAGCCTCGATCAGTCGCTCTCTCCTACATATTCATCAGTAAACCTACCGTGTTTATGTAAAAACATGAATTTTTAAAATTGGCTTGCTTTCAAAAAGGAGACCTTCAAGTTTACATAATTTATAGATTGAAATTTAAGGGAGTGACGATTACTTTATATTTAGGTCTGACAAATATTTTTTCGAAGTGGAAGCAAACAAAAAGATTAAATTTGTCGTTTTGAAAGACGGAAATGTTGCATCACGGCTTGACATTTCTGCATGAGGCTGGGCCGTGCCGCGCTAAAAACGGGATCCTCATAAGTGAGAAAATGGAGACAAAACCAAGAGGACCTGCAGAAGTAACGGCAACAAAACATATTTTTACAAAGTCCTGACTGAACCACTGCAGGCATGTTTCCATCACGTCCCTGCTGTATTTCACAGCCTTTTCTACTTCTTGTATGTTGTTGTTCTGTATGCACTTTGACCTTACTGGACAAAGTGCTGTTCTTATTTTTGTATTGTTTTACTTTATTGTGTGAGTATTCATGCTTAACTTGCTGTGACACTTGGAGTTCCCCACTATGAGACAAAAAGATACGTCTATTCTTTAAATTTTTAAAATTTTTATTTGAAAATAATAGAAATTTCATCCTTTTCTTTCTACTTCACAAGTATGTCTTCCAAATCAGATTTATTGCTGTGACATGACAAAACGTGAAAACAATTAGCCACCTAGTCCGAATACGAGTCTAATCCTGCATATGTCGGTTCATATGTTCAATTACTTGTGCAGTGGACACACACACACACATACACAAAAACTCTCATTTTCTACCAAGTCAAACACCGACCACGAGAGACGGCATCGGTAACGGGAAGATCTGCGGTTTCCACTCCGTTGCCCACCTGAGGGTAATGACGCACATCTCAGCCTGAAGGCTCCGGCCATCTGCTCCGGCTCTTTGTGGCTGTGATTTCGCTTTGACAGCAGCTTATTTCCCACAATATATTTTCAGGATAACTATCCACCTCCAGGATTCCCACTCCTCGGCTTCCGTCAGCGTGAGGGGTATTTCATAATGCAGGCTGCAGCTTTGAGGAGGTTTCTGCAAAGGAGATGCACATGAGGGGGGAAGAAACTGACTTCACACAAGGAAGAAAAAATGAATGTGTCCGAGATATTTTTTGTCATGAAAGAAGGGGAAAAATTGTGTTGTTTTTTTTTTTTTTTCCAGATGGGAGATGCTAATATAATCACTTGAGCTTAAAATATTGACTCTCGCCACCGTCTCAGAGCCAGATTGAGGGAATGCCAGCAGGTCTGAAGTATGCAACATGGTGACTAAAAAAAGGCTGAGCGCGTCCTGTTGCTGCAGGACCGACATAAATTTAGACAATGTTTAGAAAAGATCCCATTACAAAAAATAACACCCTGCTGAAGAAATATATTATCCACAACTTCCTTTTTTTCCCCTTTTTATCAAACTTGATCCTGCTTTTATTATCATCTGTAAATTTTGACACCCAAAGCTTCATTTTTCTTTCAGATTAAGCAGAAATAAGGCTGAAACTCCCCAAAGGTTTCTATATTAGTTCCACAGCCTGAAGGAGGAATCCTAAAAAGCTGAAGCTAAAAGTATTGTTACCCCCCCCCCCACACACACACACACACACACACCTCCACCCATCCACCACTTCACCCCCAGCCAAAGAGGCAGAGGAGAGAAAAGACTGACGCAGAGCCAGCAGCAGCAGCAGCATTGATTAATGAAACAGACCCTGAGCTCTCAAGTTCAAAGCTGTATTTATTACCCGGCTCTCCTCTCAGCAGATGATGGAGTCTGCAAAAACATAAACTCGGTCAGAGAGAGAGAGAGAGAGAGAGAGATCGTACTATGCTTGTGTGACTCATTTCCCTTGATTGAAACCGATTAAACTCCTTCTGACGTTTACGCACTGTAAAAACCAGCAGCTCGGATCCACACAGACTGGGAGGTGGGCTTTTTTTTTTTTTTTTGGGGAATTTGACCTCGGGTAAATAATTGGAGCGCCGGAGCATCCTGCTGATCGGCAGGAATCTGCTGAATGACTCAGCGCTCTCAGCTGCAGCTCTCAGAGCAGACATCCATCACGTAGTAGTCTGTCGGCTGCCGGGCCGCCTGCTCTGACTGAGTCAGTCTGGGCAGGCGGAGGAAGCGACGCTGCTGCAGGGGGGAGAGTATTAAAGCTGACCTTGTTGGATGCAGGTTAAAGAGGAAGCAAATGTGGCTATTATCGAAAATCTAACTCGGCATCGGGGGCATCTTTTGTTTATGGTTTAAATAAAAACTTGACTTTTAAACTTAAATTATCAAAGAGTGAACTCAACACTTTAGTGTGAGGAATGCACCTGTAAGTGGAAGGTTTCTGCCATCGGTGGACCAGCCCGTAATTTATTTCGGTTCATTTCACAGCACAGAAGTTTGATGCAGCATGCCGAGTTATGTTTCCAACCCAAAAAATAGCTTATCTCATAATGTCTAATGTTGGAGCTGTAAAATTGGACTAATACCTGGACTACTAAAAAATTTAACAAACAATAACCTCAAAATGTCTAATAAGATTTGTATTTAATAACAGAAATTTTGGATTAAAACCACCATACTAGACAATTTGGAACTGCATGGGAGTCCCGCTCCTTTAAAAAGCATCAGACGTAAAATAAAAAATAAAAAATTCTATCATGTTCAACAACCCACTGCAGCAGCATCTGGTCAGTGACAAGTTAGTTTGCTACTACAGTTTTAATAGACTAAATGGAAAATGTATTTTATTGACAAACGAGTCAATATGGTGTAGATTAAATGTTTGTCACTTAAGATCGTTCCCTATGCAGATGATCAATGTTGACACCAGAGCTGGACAAAGATATAACCATATGTTCACGTAAAGTCCATAATAAGACACGTGACCTGATGTCTTTTTTTTTTATATATATATTTTCATATAGTTTTCTTGCCTTCTTCTTCGGGGGGGCGCACCAATCTTTCCTCCACCAAAACTCCCCCACCACATGATGCTGCCACTCCCCTGTTCAGAGCTGGAATGCTGTTTTTATGCTGCCGATCTCCATCATTTTTGACCAAATGTACTTGATGATCCATCTTGCTAACCCCTTCAGGTTTAGCTCTTTAAAGACCACAGGACACCGCCTCCAAAGTTAAAGTCTTTCTTCCTGTACTCTGGGTTTTGTTGCGTCTTCTCATGTCGTTTCCTTTAGAATAACGACGTTCTCTAGGTAGTTTAAACTTTTGATCTCAGGTTCGCATGTACCTAAAAGCAATTCTCAACGTGTGCAATTGGTGCTATAAAATGGGACAAAAAACCTATAAAATATTCCAAAGATGTAGTTTGAGAGGGATAAAAAAAGCAGTCTAAAACTGACAGCGTGGTTCCCAAAGAGCCGCCTGCTGAAAGACATGACCTCCATCTACTCCTGTTGGATTTTAGAACTGGTTCTTCTTGCAGCACTAACATGCTAATCCAATATGCAGTATGAAAAAGAGCGAAAAGTTAGCCTGTGTCCAACGTAACACTTTGATAGAGCTAAAGAAAACCATTTTTAATACCATTTTCTTGAATCCAAAGCAGAGGAGCAACACGGTCAAAGCATTTCCATACACCAGTGTTCTGAAGTTGATGCGCTCTAATGATCCAACTCGGCTACGTGCGATACTGTAAGTGACAGCTGACGCAGCAGCAGCACGTCTTTGCATCGACACATCGGCGGCTGAAGGCTGTTAGCGAGCTGATCTTGCAAGCTAATGGTAGAAGCATAAACAGCCACACACAGAGAAGTGTGCTCACTTTTCCACCGTCTGATCACAAAGGTGGCACCGGCTCGTGCTTTTTTTTTCTTCTTTTTTTTTTAACCTGAATGCAGGTGCTGTTGCTACGGCAACAGTGGATGATGCTGCCAGGGTGAATCATTAACTGACTGTCCTTTCACTCTGCGCCTCGGGATCGGGTCCTGACCTCCTCCACATCCCTCGATAAAACGGTGCCGCAGAAACCGTTAAGTCCTGCAGTTGCAAAAAGCATTTTTAGTTTTTTTTTTTTTTTTCTGGCAACTTTTAATTTCAGCCAATCTCTCAGCTCTGACTGAAACACCCGGATCCTCCTGCCCTGCACTCAAAATTAGAGGGCAGCTGTCCCAGGATTATCTTGTCCTGAGACAGATTCCTGAAATGTTCCGGACGGATTTACCAGCAGGGCAACGCCGGGGCGAGGGAATGCCGGGAGCCACTTATTCAGCTCGGCATACAAAAATATCGTTTTGAAATGTATCACTGGGAGGTTTGGAGGTTTGGTTTGTTTGTGTTATGAAATGAATCTGCCAAAGGGAAGACGTTACGCTTTACCTCCTGTCCTGCCTTATTTTAGCGTGGGTCATGCAAGGGTCAGAGGTTAAAAGTCGAGTGCTGTTGCCCTCTTAAAGATTTGTGCTATTCTTGTCACCTTTAAATGTTTCAGAAAATCAGACATATTTTATGTCGTATGTAGAGAAACCGAGTAAAATTAAAATGTTTCTCAAATGATTATTTCAAATAATTTCAAATTTAAAAATGTGATTATTTTTAAATTTATTTCCTCCACAAAAAAAATGCTAATATATCGTTGTCAGATTTTAACATATTGAAAGAAAAACAAGCTCTAGGAGATTTTTTTTTCTTAATCAGTGAAGCGTTTCAAAAATAAACTACTAATAAAAGTTTAACATTTAAAGTTAGAGTTGGGCGATGCTTCATGTCCTCTATGTTTTGGATTTGCCACTTGGGAAGTTGCAGCGAATTTTTTTCCCCCCCATTTTATTTTATTTTTTTATGGATACGTGTGTGTGTGTGTGTGTGTGTGTGTGTGTGTGTGTGTGTTTCCTCATGGAGTCAGTAATAGTAATGAGAAGCGTGACGGTCTATTTTGAAAAGTGTCCCAGTGAGCTGCACTGTATCCTCTATGGAAAACACGTCCACACCTCTTGTGGGTGTTAACTATTCAAGAGATTTCCAAGGACTGTCACACCCACACAGGACCTACATCTCTTCTAGGGGGGACGTGTCACTGTATTCTCTGAGATACTTTATTTTTTCTAGTAATATTACTCACTGACCTTACATGTAAACAAGTATTCTACTTCCTAGCAACAATGGAAAGATGTCTAATTGATCTCACTGGTGCTGCCATTTGTAGACTGTTTGAGGCCGAGATCGCTGCAGGATTACAGATGAATCCAACCGTCTCATTGGGGGGGAAAAGGTGTGCTTACTCACCTCCAAGCAGAGGTGACAGTCGGGCACGAATTACCATTCTCATTCTCCCCCTGCCGACATCGCAGCTCATAGCCCGCAGACACACATTTTAAAAACGGGAGACGGAGCGGGAGAGAGGGAGCACAGCGGGGAGCGTGAGTGAGCATTGGATGTTTGTGTTGCTCTGATGGATTTTGTGTGGAGAGAAAACAAATTTGAAATAAAAGATAACAAGAATGGGAGAGGTAGAAAAGATGGGATGAGAGGAGAGATGACGTCAGAGGATTTAAAAAAAAACAAAATCGATGATTAAAAGGTCACGAGAAATGACAGATGAATCCCTGGCTAAATAGCACCTTTTGGCAAATGGGAAACCAAGCCTGGCCTCTAATTGATCACAGGGAGAGGCAAGGAGAGCTGGAATTAAAGCTTAAAGAGACGTTTTCACTGAGAAACACATTGAACTCCACAAATGAACATTTACAAATATAGATTTTTCTGGGCTGACAAAATGTCCCACTGTGCAGTTAGAAATATAGCTGATCTGTAGGTGTTTGAATTTTTATTTTGTATTTTTATTGTTCCTGTCAGCTTCAAGTTTTTCCCTTTCATTTATGGTTTTTCCTGTGTCTTTACTTTTCTTACCTTTCTCGACTCTGAGCTTTGATGTTTTCGGTCCTCTCTCTGCCTGCCATTCTGCTCTCCTTCCCACCTGTTTTCCATTTCCTAATTTTCTCTGCCTGCTAGCCATGCGTTCAGTGAGGATCCAGTAGTATTCTCTGCCTTAAACTAGCATAATATGAAAATGGCATTCACTAGTAGGCTTGGGATATTTATTGTTTAGTGCTGCAGGATCAATTGTTAACATATCCTTACTGGTATAGTGATCTGCTCCTTGTAGATAATTGTAGGCATAGTTGAAAGACGACCTTCAGTTCTCACTGTTCAGATTTTTAATGGGGTGTGGTCTGGCTCCCCAAACTGTTTGGAGAAACAATAGATCTCCTGAAAGCTTGGTGCAGCTTCTGAGGTGTTATGGACATTGGCTCAAACCTTGGAGGATGAGCCATATTTACCTTCTTTAAATGGCTATGATTATAAAATAGTTTTAAGGACCTTCTTGCAGCACGGACCAGTTTCTGTCTTCGCAAAATGGAATTGGAGATCAGAACTGAACTTCTATAAAATGCCTGTGGTTCTAGTACCTGATTAGTATCACCAATAATTGCCCCATTATGGAAAATAACCAATCAAAGCCAGCCCATGATTCCCAGATGGGCTGAAAATAAGTGGGAATCCCCCAGGAAGAAGGCTGTGGTCAGGAAGGCCTGGAGGTGTCTGCATCACATCAGTGAAGCTAAGCTTTCCTACTTATCAAATACATTTAATCAACAGAGAGCACAGTGAGCCGTCCAGGTTAATCACTTATATTGCATTACTGGCCTTTTAACTTGGACACGATTCTGACTTTTGTGTGTAGGGTGGAGGGGAAGGAAAAGCACAAGCTCAACAAAATCTGTAATGAATAAAGGTAATTAACCAAACGGATGCATCGGGAGCAGCTTGCACAGTGCTGATGAGTTGATTCTACAGAGCTCAGCTGCAAACTTTATCTTTAGCTGCATATTAAAAGTCCTCTGAAACACAAACGGCAGACTGACTGCGTGTGTGTGTTTAGCTGCCCTCTGTCTGGGGTAGTGACCTGATGAAGTAGTTATCACTAATTTCAGTTAATAGCTGGGTAACAGCTTAATTATGAACAGCTTGAAAGAAAACGGGGCGAAGGAACCAGTGCTGCGGTATCACCAGTCTGACTGTTTCAGCGAATCAGCGGCTGGAAGAGGGGAATATTTCTGCTCTAAGTAAATCTAAACATATAGATAAGAGAGTGGGTAAAAGTGATTTAAAGTGTTTTTTTTTTTTTTAAAACCTCCTTCATTTCCACTTAACCCACTCACCATATGAGCCTCAGTTAAGGGTAATGAAGGAGCAAACTACTGACTTCCTCCCGTCTGGACATCAGGTTTTCCTGCACTAGAAAGACCGGGATCACAGATTTTAATCACAGACATGTCTCAGCTAGGGGCCTGTTATGGTGGGTGGGCCGCGCGTCTTGTTTCTACATCTGTTATTAACTCCATCCACTGTGGGGGTGAACACATGCTAATTATGAGCTTGCACCAAATAATAGAGATCAAATTTACTGAGAGTTTTGTAGAGTGATTACACATTAGGTTTAAAACCAGCCCTTTATCATCTTTGCATGCATCAAGCTAATTGTCATCATAACGTGTCGTTTTACATAATATCTGTTTTTATGCACATTTCCCCAAAACTTCTGCCAGTCTGAAACTAAGGCATTAAGAATTTAGTGATGGTTTTAAAAGCATTAGCACAATGCCATATTGGTGTCTTTGAACAGATTTACATTATTTCTAGTTCCTTCTTAACTTGTCTTTTAATACTGGCTGGTATTCATACCTTTTGAAATTTTTAAACATTTCCTGGCTTCATTACTTGACATTTTCTGGTGTGTAACTGAGCTGTCTTCCCTGGGATGCTTTAGAAGTAAATTCATACTGTTATTTTGACTGTTTATCTACATCAGGGGTCCCCAAACTACGGCCCGCGGGCCGGATCCGGCCCGCCACGTCATTTGGTCCGGCCCCCTGAACAATGCCGGATCTGGCCCGCCTCCTCGTACCAGAGAGCATTCAGTGTTTTTTTTCATATATTGTATTTTCCGGTTTATATGTGGATTTTTCTTCAACCACCAGGGGGCTTTTGAGCAAATGTGAAACTTACTTTCCCTCAATGGAATATATACTCGTCAGTCACCGTTTCACTCACGGTTTTTTCCATTTGCATTCTGGGTAAAAATCTATCCAAAAGTGTCGTACAAGAATTTCTTTGTTTTTTTTTACTGCAAAAACTAAGACCGGCCCCCGACCACAGAAAGGAACAGCTATGTGGCCCTCGCAGGAAAAAGTTTGGGGACCCCTGCATTAAAGCCTCAGGAATAAAACTGGATGAGAGGGGAGACGAACCAAATGGTAGTTAACGTTAT